ATCAGACATGCTTGGAAATATGTAAGCATTGAATGAGTTTATGTCCCTGCTCTACCATGAAGTTTAGCAGCTTCTGCATTAGTTTTGGTCATGAAAGATTCTCCACAGCCACACTGTCCTGTTGAATTTGGATTGATAAAGATGAACTCAGATCTGCAAAAAGGAAAATGTTAAGACTTGGACCTTCCCTAGGGTACCTACATTCTCAAAAACAATATTACAATAATCTTTTAAATATTTCCGCTGTAAATTAAAAGTGTTTGTCAATATACAACAATGACCTCAAGCCAGCTGATTCAGAGTTTCAGACTAACTTCCGGTTAACACAGATGCTTCCTTAAACATAATCTAACTCAAGCACATATTCAATAAAAAGCCTATCAGAAGTGCTTCAAACATATACTAACTTTAGAAATTCAGTAACGAATAACAAAAGAATTTATAAAAGCATCAACAAAATAAGGCAAAAAGCTCTGCTTCAAATCTTCAAATCAGCTTCCATTAATTTCACATAGAGAAAAGAAGGGGGGAATAGCTATTTAGAGTGTGTTTGGCAACAAGCTATTGGTAGTTTATAGCTTCTCAGTTTCTTATATGCCAAAAAAAGTAGCATTTAGCTTATACAAAGCTAGTTTTTGTAAATAAAATTTCCAGCCTTTTGTTATTAAAATTCATAAATAAAAATTGATCAAATTATTAAGATATTAATATATGCTTTAAAGTTATTACAAAAACAAAAGCATACCTTTCTAATTACACTAAAAACTAGTACATTACCAAACACTTCCCATTCATTCAGCTAGCTCATAAGCCATCGGCTTCCAGCTTCTATTCCTTCTAAGAGCTACTAACAAGTACAGCTAACTTATCAACTAGTTGTGATCAACAGAGCCTTACCAGAAATACCTAGTGTTAGGGTATCCTAATGTTTACTTAAAGAATTCGATAAATGATCATGTGAGAAAGTCAGAAATCTCAACACACTAAATTATTCAAGCAGATATATGCAGTATATTGAGACAATGAGACTTGAATTAAGATCTCTGCTCAAAGACCCAATGCTAAGTCGACAAATAGGTGTTGCCTAGGGCAACCCAGCCAAGTTGGTCAGGCTGTTTGGTAACCACCAGGTTACAAGTTCGACTCCCCGTGGTTTAAGCCAGCCTGCTATGCTCAACTTAGGTTGCTTTACCTCTTTGGTCCTTTATGTTATAAGTAGAAACCATAAACTTCAAACATTTGATGTTCACTACAATATGGAAAGCTAATGTAATTGGGAAAGGCATCAGGAACCTGAGTTTATCATCAACAAAATCCATCTGGGTGCCAAGAACGTGCATGAGCGCTTTTGGATCAATCAATATCTTCACACCCTTGTCTTCAACTAGCTCATCAAATTTCTCTTTCTCATCTACAAAGCCCAAGTTAAATATTGCATAAGAATAATTTCGTAAATTTCCAAACACATAAATGAACAAAAGGGGTATTAATCCATGCAAAAATCATTAATTCAACGACCTATAGTTAACCCTAGACTTCAATTGCAATGTGTAAAATGCGGATTGGCATTTAATCATGAAAAGGTTGAAAGTTTTCTAATGAATTAGTGGTGGTGATTAGAGTTGGGAGGCGGACCTGCGTAATTGAGGGTGTAGGATAAGCCGTTGCAGCCGCGAGACTTGACGCCGAGCTTGAGGAAATTCCGCTGGCGATGCTCTAATAGCTGGCGTATTCTGGCCGCTGCCGTCTCCGTTAAGCTCAGAACTTGCTTTCTCATTTTCTCGTATCCAGATTTCTCAGCTCAAGCTTCCAGAAACACAAAGCCATCGAAGAAGACAGAAGAATCCGCTTTGAACATTGAAGGCCCAATCAACTTAACCCGAACCCGAAATTGATATGGAAATGGGTCGGGCCGATAGTTTGAGATAAGCCCAACTGATTTCTTATTAGATCTCAAAAATTAGAAAAAGAAAATGGCCCTGTTTGGTAAAATGGCTGTTAGCTGATAAGTGTTAGTTGTTAGCTGATTGTGTTAATTAGAAGGTATAAATAGTTGATAACATTAGCTGATTGTAGAAAAGTGTTTGGTAAATTAGCTGTTAGCTGTTAGCTGTTTGGTATAATTTCTTTTCTCAAAAAGCTAATTGAAAAAGTTGCTTGGGGTAGCTTTTTCAATTTTAGCCTTTTGGAGTTGTAAAAAGCTAATTAACCAAATATTTATATTGATATTTTAACTAAATCAAATAATTAATAGTGGTCAAATAAGCCAAAATTGGCCTATAGGCCAACTTTTTACCAAACAGGGCCAATACTTAATACCTAAAATGGTCCTCGATTATAGTGGTTTTTTTCAATTTTGTCCTAAACGATTTTGGTGACCTAATATGGTCTTATACTCTTGTGTTTTTGATCAATTTAATATTTCGTTTGTTATTCCGCCAAATTAATGTTAAATAAAGGAACAATTCAGTAACCTCAATATTGACATCTTTTTACCCCAGTCATGCGATTTTTTTTTTCTTTTACGAATTACTCCGACCAGCGAATCAAATTTTATATTCGCAGATTTGGGAGCAATTATAGGAGTAATTTGTAAAAGAAAGAGAGATGTTGCACTTCGTAGATCTAGGAGTAAGGAGATGCGGCCAATATTGAAATTACTGAATTGTCTCTCTATTTAACACCAAATGGACGGAATAACAAACGGAGGGTTAAAGCTAAACTGAATATCTTATGTTACCTAACCGATTAAATCACCAACTGACTTAATCTTCTACTTGCACCACAGTCACATAATTAATACAATATATTATATTAGAGAAAATACTTACATCTTGAGATGCAAAATAAGAGAAAAATTATATCATTGTATGATAATTAAATATTTCATGACAAACTTTGGCCAACTACGTACGAGTTATCTTCGTGTTGGGAGAAGGTAGGGGTGGAAATAAGCCGAGCCGAGCCGAGCTTTAGAAAATTAGGTCTGGGCCTGTTACGAAAATCTAAAGCCTGGACCTAGGCCTGAGCCTGTATGTAGGCTTTTTGTTAGGCTCAAGACTGAGCCTGCAATTAGCCTGGCCTGGCCTGAAGCCTTTTTAAAAGCCTGTTTAATATTTAGGTCATTAAAAATGCTTCTAAGTATGTCCTACCTTGAGCCTATTAAAGCCTACATGTTAAGACTTTTTAAAAACTTTAGTATATCTAAATAATATAAGAAATGTACCTAATACAAAACAAATACATAATTACATAAGTATATCACCACAATGCAAACATAACAGTATTAAAATGAAAAATAAAATAAAACAAGTCACGACTTCAGCATGCTCGTTAACTTGTTTAGAAATAAATTCAATTGTATTATTGTTTGTTATCCTATATAACAATTAACAATCAACTCACATAATTAAGTTGTGACATTTCATTAAATATTATGATAGTTAGAACAGTTAATAAAAAAATTACACAATAAAAACACTTATAGCAGGATTAACATCAATGTTTATAGTTGAATCAAAATTTAGAATGAGATTTTGGAGGTGAAGGGTTACAGGGCGTTTGGTTGGAGGGAGGGAATTATGTGGGAAAAGAATTGTAATTCCATGGGAGTTGAATTACTGGGAATAAGGTGGGAATTTAAATTCCAGTATTTGGTTGACAGGAATAAAATTACTGGGAATTTCAATTCCAATGTTTGGTATACATGGGAATTGAAAGGGAATAAGTAGTATAAAGTCAAAAATGTCCATTATTGTTATTAGACATTAATTTTAAGTTAAAAAGGGAAGGGGTAATTTTGACTCATCACTATCTTTTTTTCCCAGGAATTAAAATACCAGGGGGGACCTGGGATTTTAATTCTATGAAAATGGGGGAATTGCAATTCCCTCCAACCAAACTACGGAATTTAATGGTCTTTGGAATTATGTGGGAATTAAGTGGGAAGGGAATTTAAAATCCCTCCAACCAAACACCATGTTAGAGATTGGTAATTATATATACAGGGGCTTGGCCTTTTCCCACCTTAGGAGAAGGGTTTAGAGAAATAAAACTGTAAAGTAATTCGTTGTTGGCAATAGAGGGATCAACATTGTCATATCTTATTAACTATCCAAAATTTAATGAGATGTGGTTGAGTTTTTTCAGTTTGATGTGTATAGAAAAGCAAATCATTGTATTGACTAGAACATATCCAGTCTTAATGCAACTCAATTTGAACTTTACTTCTTACTTTTTTTTGGGGATTTTATCGGAGTGTCTTAATTCTAAATTTTAGTTCGATTTTAATTTGGAGTTTGACATGTTGGAAAGTAATCATCAAAAAAATTAAAAGATGAATCATTGATTAATATGTTTGGGCTGCAAGAATCTTTTTCCGACAACCTGCGGTATATTATTGGTCAAAAGACGTTGCAGGTTTGCACCATTGCCTTTTTAACACACGTAGGAGCCATTGCCCTTGCAAAAACTGTTTATACTCTTGTCCTTCCACACATGTAAAGGCCAGATTTGGTTCATGTCACTCAGTCAAACCAACACATTGCCCTTGCACAAACTGTTTTCTGTATAATTTGCTCCATAGCTCAAATGATGAACCAATCAATATTTAGTTTTGCCTACACACCAGTAGAGTGATGATGAAAATTTTTATACACAAGGAAAGTTGTAATCATTTAGACATCTCAAATTTTACCTCCTTCATATATCTTAGGACATGTTCATAAGTTTAGGATATGATTCAGTAAAATTGATAAATTAAATCTTAAATAAAAAGAAGAAATTTACATAGTGTGTCCCTCAAATGTGAGGTTTCAGATTCGAACTTCAGTATAGGGCATTGACTCTTTCTATTTCAGTAAGTTAAGAAAGTATGTATGAACAGATACTACATTATACAGAATAATGAATAGTAATATGATAGAACCAGTGATTAAGACATTGATTGAAAAAATATAAAATAATATTACCTAATAATTACACCTGTCTATAGTCCTTAGATTGCATGATGATGACACCTGTCTCCTTTCCGGCTCTCTCCGGACACTTCTTATACTCTCTAGGATCTTCCACCTTAGTAGCTTACATCTGCGAAGCGTTTCTTCTAGACTGATCTGATCTCTACTCTTCTTTTTTCTTGCTTAAACTCTGTCTCGACCGGAAAGCTTCAATTTTTGCTTCTGTAAGTTCTCTCTCCCTGTCTCTAACAAATATATGTGATTGTATACTTGTATCTGTAAACCCCTTGATTAATCATGGATTTAATTTGTTAGGTTAACATGTCTACCATTGGCCTTCCTTCATGCCACTTACTTGGAGGCGTGCAGCCACTGAGACCTTCTCCCTTCACAAATGGGGCGAGGTCTCTGCCTTTGCTAAACAAAACTTGGAAGAAACCTGGATTGAAGTCACCCCCCTCCCCCTTCAAAGTGTCTGTAATGGCTGCATACAATGTTAAACTGATCTCCCCAGAAGGCGAGGAGAAGGAGATCCAAGTCCCCGAAGATCAATACATCCTTGATGCAGCCGAGGAGGCTGGGGTAGAGTTGCCATACTCGTGTCGGGCTGGTTCTTGCTCTACCTGCGCAGGACAAGTGGTTTCTGGGACGGTGGACCAATCCGAAGGGTCATTTCTCGACGAGACCCAAATGGAGAAAGGATTCGCGCTGCTATGCATTTCGTACCCGAGATCAGACTGCGTTATACACACCCACAAGGAAGAAGAAGTTCACTGAGAAATCAAGAAGCAGCAAGTGTTCATGTCTGTCTGTAACATGAAAAGTAAGAAGACATATTACATATTAATCTTTTGGTATAATTCTTACATGTTATTAGTCCTATGAAATTTGACTTTAATTTGAATCTTTTGGTACAATTCTTAGCTTGTTGCTTTTCAACATGTGAATTGATGCTCGATCAACTTATAATTTTGTCAATTTTATTTTTGCTTTTGGATTCTGTAGTTTAGATGGTGGGTGCCCAAGTAAAAATTGCAAATGATTTTGTTTGAAAAGCTTAATCCATAGGTAATTAATTTAATTTAGTTTAATTAATTATTTTTTATATATAATTGATACTTAATTTTGTATAATAGCATTATCCAATGAAAATAATGAATATACTTTATACAAAACTTAGATTTCTTGAACTATCATGATTGGATTGGTGAGAATGTATACAAATAGCCTCTTGAGGATATTTATACTTGTTTTATCTTTTTAATGAATGGTGAAGATTTATATACTTAATTTTGTATCAATAGCATTATCTAATGGAAATAATGAATCTACTTTATATAAAACTTAAGATTGCTTGAAGTATCATGATTTGATTGGCGATAATGGATACAAATAGCTTCTTGAGGATATTTATACTCATTTTATCTCTTTAATGAAAGGCAAAGATTCATACACTATCTCTATAAGAAGAGCCCAATTCATAGGTAATTAATTTAGTTTATTTAATTAATTATTTATTTTATATAATTGATATTTAATTTTGTATCAATAGCATTATCTAATGGAAATAATTAATGTACTTTATATAGAACTTAAATCCCTATTAGATTGATCCCTATTAGATTGGTGAGAATGGATACAAATGAGCCTCTTGAGGGTATTTATACTCATTTTATCTCTTTGAATAGATGGTGAAAATTTATACATTAGAAATTAATCTCAACTTTCTAAAAATCTTTATACAAATTTATGGACTTATCGATTTTAAAATATTTTATAAATCTCTATCCAAACCTATGTACATGCTTCTAGAAAATTTTACAAACAATGATAAATTATATAAAAATGTAAGAATGATATAGAATGATGTAGTAAATTTCGGAAATATATAGTAAAGATGCGCGTGTTACACTATTTCCTTATTAGTTTATGTTTTCAATTTATCCTTATTAGATTGTGTTTCATCTTCATAGCTCGTTTTAATTTGAAGTCCTTAAATTTTAATGTTTTGATACACTTTGTACTGTTCTATTTAGATTTATGATTTCGTCAAGTGTCATGTTTGAATGAGCATGATAAATCAATGCACATGTGATCTTATGCAATAGTTTCAATGAGCATATGATGCCTTCTTCCGGAAGAAGGTAGTGAATGCCTTTTCCAGATTAGAAGAAAGCATTCGTTATTTTTCTCTTGTTTGTTTCTTTTCTTTACCTATATTTTTTCTCCTTTTCTTCCTCCACATCTCTTAATTGTTATTTTTAATTTATCATGCCTTAACTATATCCAGCCACATTTGATGCATTCGTATATATTTACAAAGAGTAAACACATTTATTTAATTTCTTGCTTGATTAATTATGGCCTTACACAAAGGGTGTACCGTGTATATACAAAGAAGATCATACTCTATCATTACAATATTGCATAACATTAGTTCGATTTGTAGCCAATTGTCAAGAAGTGTGATTTTTGACCCTTTCACAAATAAAGACAGAGTCAACAACACCTCTACTGAGACTCGATCTCATGATCACTCATATACAGTGGCGGAGCCAGGATTTACGTTGAGTGGGGGCGAAAATGTAAAAGTAAAATGAATTTAAAAATGTTCAAATACGAATAAAATTGTTAAACAACAATATGTTAACTAACATTAAATAATTATTCCAAATAAACAACTATACCAATTAACATTAACGATCAGTACAAATGGAAGGTAACTAAACCTCACAAAAAAAAAAAACAGCTCTAGGATTTGAACTGCTGACCTTTCACTTAAATTATAAGGTCAAATAACAACCTAACCATCTCAGCCAAGCCTAACTTTGCTTAATTGTTGATATGTTTAATATATATTCAGTTTATATGGAGTAGGGCAGTGGGGCAGCAGCCCCCACTGCCCCCATTGTGGCTCCGCCACTGCTCATATATGAGAGGTCATTACATATTAGCTGAGCATAATGTGTTTGGCTACTTTAGAGAATGTTAGATTGTTAAGAATGTTAGATTACTAGGAATGTTAAATTCATGTGTTCAATTATATATATATATATATATATATATATATATATATATATATATATATTTGGTACTACTAACACTGGTACAAATGTAGTATATGTTCATAATTCTGTGTTTGGTTTAAAACTAAGGTATGTAATATATACCTGTTTGGTTGAAAAGTAATTCTTTTACAGTACGATGATTATTTTTATTTGAATACTGTTAATCTGTTTTTAAATATTTTAACAAATTTAAAATTAAAATAAATAAATAAGATAATAGTAAGATATAAAAATAAATAATTTAAAATTAATTAACTAAGAGTTTGAATAATAACTAAGGCAATTGATTAAAATAAAAAAAATTAGTAATACGAAAAGAGAATGCGAGAACACTTCATAATATGAAGGATATCTTATATTCTTTTGTATTAATTAAAATTTTATGTGAAAATTATATTACATTTCTAAAAAAAATAACATAATTTGAACTAAACACATGAAAATTTTATATTCCTATTCTCTAAATAAATATAATTTTAATTATCTTATATGCCCAGAACAAACGCCCCATTATATTCCAAACTTATAACGGAAAAAAAAAAAAACACAATATTTTGAAATATTTTCTAGAAATTTTTTCTCCAACACAAAAAATCTCTAAATCTACGAATTTCTGGCAGTGGGCCCCGATTCCTCAAGTCACGGCATTTACTTTGGAACAGCAGGTACGACGTGGGACCCACTTACGAAGTTCGTTTCAGAGCTCGCTCTGACTCCGAATTTTGTTCTCCGACTGCGATTCGCTGCTGCTGCGTTTGCTGGCCACCCGGTTCGGCGCAAACCGGCTTCTCAAAACCATCCCGAGCCGTCTCCACAACCCGGTTCTCCTCCTCCCTCCTTCCTTCTCCGACGACCTCACCCTTCCAGTACACGAAACCTTGGGAGAAACCGGCTCCGCCGCAACGCGCATTACACCTCCGCCGCCGGGTTCAGACATGCTCCTGAACAACCTCGTACTCGCCGCCGGCTTGGGATTTCGAGGTTTGGGAAGAGCGAGGAGCGAGGAGGAGGACTTGTTCAGGCCGGAGAAGGAACGGTGAGATACAGATGATGACTTGGAGTCGCCGCCGCCGGAAAACCCCTGCTGGCTCTGCAGTTTCATGGAGGTTCTGCGTTGCATGTTGGCGTTTTGGTGGAACCAATCTTGTTGGGAGTCATACGGGACCCAAAATGACTCCGGCGGGAGATCAAACAAGCTCTCCGGAGAACCCGCTATCTGTTCATAGACTTCATCGAAGCCCAGAAGCTTTTCTTGGCCATCTTCACATGCAGAGTTGCAGGAGAGATGGGACTGTAGTGAAGGCATAATGCTTCAATTTCCTAATAGTGCAAGAAGAGAGAGAGGGAGGTAGGAGGCGAGTTTCAAACTAGGAAGTTGGGAGTACAGACGAAATTAAAGTCTGCAGTGCCAGGGGATGGGCAAAGTGCCTTTTTACATATAACAGATGTAATCACGTCTGGTTTTAAGGTTTTATCTCTATATAACTTCAAAAATATATGGTAGCTAACCAACTTAATTGTTTAGACTGTAGTTTGACTCAATCTATAGTGTCTGATTCTGTTTGAATCCGTGGTTTCGAATCGAACTGTGATGATCACCTGTACTGATTATGGTTACAAAACGAGATTTACTCAGTGTAGGATGTGGTCATCCAAAAATAAAATAGAATTGTAACTGGTTGCAAATGTGAAATTGGTCATAAGATACAAGGGTCGAGTCTCACCAACGATAGAGTGGGAGCAACCTCTCAAAATGAGTCTGTCACAACAATCTAGCCTCTGTTGACCAGTTGAGCATTATGATTTACCTGAACTAGACGATTATACCTTGTTATAAAATATTGGTAAAAATTGAACTCGTGATAAATATGAAAAATGGTTGGCGTTTTCTCACTTAAGGACTTGATGGTGACATGCATGCATGAATATAAGAGAAATGAGAAGCCAATCACGTTACAGTGCCAAAGAAATTTGGGCACATGCAACAAGTACGCTAGAAATGTAGAAATTAAATGGGCGTTGCGCAAATTAATTGCATACATAATCCATAAACGTGACCGGCCGCAAATGCAATGGATATAAACGCCTTTCAGGATGTTTCCCAGCTGCATGTGTAATTATGACACTATTTTTTTTGTTAGGAGAAAAATTCGGCGATCACTATTTGATGGTATATACTAAAAAAGTATTTTAAAATATAAGTTATGACTTTTATTTTTTCATGTTCTTTCTCTAATTAAATTAGGATTGCGATGTAATTTTAATATTTGAAAGCACACTTGTCAATTTCATTAGGGCGTCGACACCGCGCTAACAACGCCACGATCGAGGGAGTCTGCCGGACTTCCGCATTGGCTTGGCTGCGGCCAACACTGGGCGGTTTCGCCCCCACGATGGCGCGTGTCGCTCCTCCCCACCCTTCTAATGGGCCACCATGCTTCTTTACCCTTTAGCCCACCAAGACTCCTCCGGCAAATTGGTCCACACAATTGTGTATACTATGAATATCAGATACATTTTTAATATATTAAAAATATATTATTTTTGTATTGAAGATACATTATATAAAATAATGTACTTTTTATTTATGGTCCATGCAATAATGATTGGACTCCTCCCCCTTCTTTGAGCCACCATGTCCCTTTCTCCTAGCCCATCAAGACTCCTTCCCCTCTTTGGGCTACCATGACTCCCCTACCTCTAGTCTAACAAGATTTTCTCCTCCTTTTGGGCCTAGATTTCCCTAATAAAATAGGGTCCATGGCCCCATCACCACATTATAAGTAATAAACGCAAATTATGCCATGAAATCGTGTTCACCGAGAATGGTGAACACAAGGCAAAACGATGTCATTTTTAGGCAAAAAAAAAAATTTGCGGATGTGGAGTTAACGGCGCGCGTTTGATCAAATTATGAATTTTCTGTTATGAGATTATGAATTCTATGAAAATTCATAATTTCATAACAAAAAATTCATAATCGCATAACAGAAAATTCATAATCTCACAACTGAAAATTCATAATCTCATAACAGAAAATTCATAATCTTATAACAGAAAATTCATAATCTCATGGTTCCAAAGTGAATGTGTAGGCATGGTTCCAAAGTGAATGTGCAGGCATGGATTCATAATTTATGAATGTCCGTGATTTCGGACGGGAATATGTAGGCATGGTTCCAAAGTGAATGTGCAGGCATGAATTCATAATTTATGAATGTCCGAAATTATGAATGTAATGAAAATTCATAATCTCATAACAGAAAATTCATAATCGCATAACAGAAAATTCATAATCTCATAACTGAAAATTCATAATCTCATAACAGAAAATTCATAATCTTATAACAGAAAATTCATAATCTCATGGTTCCAAAGTGAATGTGTAGGCATGGTTCCAAAGTGAATGTGCAGGCATGGATTCATAATTTATGAATGTCCGTGGTTTCGGACGGGAATGTGTAGGCATGATTCCAAAGTGAATGTGCATGCATGAATTCATAATTTATGAATGTCCGAAATCTTTGTTCACCTCAAATTAAAGTGAAACCGCAAAATGTGAAAATAAAGAAGAAAAGTCACGCAATTAATTAAGAAAAAAAAAAAAAAAAGATAACAGTATACTAACACCGTTGGAACCGTGTTCACCATGAATGGTGAACACGGTTCCATGGCATAACGTCTGAAGTAATAAATATGATGCAATGATTTTAATAACAGATACACTAGTACAACATTAATATTTGCACGGCTGGATTATTATTGGTGCACAAAGATATTATAATGAGGTATTCTAAGGTATAAGAATCATTAGAAAGTTAAGGTATCGGAACTATTAGAGAAGAATAATATGCAAGTTCCTTTGAAAAGTTAAAAAGGAAAAGAATGAGAATATGTCAATTTTAAAGAATTAAGCTAACTATTTTTTTTTAAAAGAAGCTTATGGTGCACTAATTGGACCTAAATTAATACACATTTATAATTTTGAGGTCCCCCTCTTTATTAATTTTTTATTGGAAAATTTTCACATTATAGTCCCCCGGACTATAATGATTTTACCAATTTTAATTCTAAATTACTTTTAGTTATCAACTTATGTAACTTTTGTTGTCGGTCCAATTTTTAAACATATTTTCAGTTGGTTTCAAGGACAAATAGTAATTTTCTCAAATTCACTCCTAATTTGTTTTCATTCTCCAATCTTGTTCAAATAGGAAGAAATTCAATAAATAAATGATAGTTTTTATTTTTTTCTTTAAATTTTTTTTAATGAAATGAAGGGAAATAGGGTTTAAGAATATTTTACATGAGTGGACTTTTTTCATGTTTGGCTAAAATTGGTGAGAGGAGAAGTTAAATTATGAGTGGAGTTTTAGAAAGTATCATTTTATCTTCAATGATAAAAAAGATTTGTCAAAAAATTAGACGAAAGATCAAAAGTAACACAAATATTGATAGACGTATATGAAGCCTATATACAAACTGATAAGTCGACCAATCATTTTTGGGACTTGCCTGAGTTCTATGACTAGAAAGCCAACCTTCAATTGTCATCATGAGAGTCACATCACTTCCCGATAAGTACTATCACGATTTACATTAATGGCATGTACATGTTTATCACACTAAATCTTGTCAGATGGTCTCCAACACGCGTCTCACTCTCCAAATCTATGACTACCCTTAGCTCTCCTGGGAGGTCTGACTCTTGAAATCATATGCAATTCTAATTTTATTAAAATTTTCAAATTCATTATTATTTGGATATGTACCTAGAATATATATTGATTACTTCATATAGCATATACTCTACTTACTACCACTTTCATAATACTCTAGTTACAAACAATATTTTACTTCGTAACATATAGCTTAACCTATTAACTCTACCAAAAGTTTAATTTATTTGTCATTTTTTAACATGGGAGATGGTTACGTTACCACTAAATCACTAGTGAACTAAACGACACGGAATTGCAGGCTCCACCACTCAGTAGTCAAGCATGGGTAGCTGGTGGGATCGGATAAGATAGGTGAAAATAACTTTTTCTTGAGAGAAATAATGATGTGTTTCTAACTTTACAAAAGCTAAGGTTGTAAAATAGTGGCAAGGATTCCTGGAAAGCCACGTCAATTATAAATATGGATCATTGGAGGGGATATATATATATATGATAATGTATATGCGATGGGTGTTTTGCCTGAGAGTTGAAACATCATCATCATCTTGGAGCAAACTAAGCAGACAGCCATGGCAACCAGTCAAATGATCTTCTTTCTCATCCTCTTCCTATGTTCTTGCTCTTCTTCTTCTTCCCTTAGGAGGACCTCACCTTCTGGTATGTTTCTTGATTTCCTTTTTAATGGCTTTTCTTGAACGTATACCCAACATTAGTGTTTGTTAGGTTCGATTTGAACTGATCTGCTATGAACAATTTATATTAATTTTTGTGATCATTTGCTGATTAAGATCACAATACGAGATTTATCTAATGCACGCTTTCTAATGGTGACAGGAACTATAGGGGAGAAAAGCAAGCTGAGTGGAGGTGGTGGCAAAGGAGGAATGAGCAACGGCGGCGGCCAAAGCGGCCAGCCCGACGTGGGATCAACCAACCAAAATCCCCGCGGATCGTCGGCGGTGATACCCATATATGCTGCGAATGCCCACCACAACTCCCACCGCAACGCCGCCGGCGGCAACAGCCCCACAGCAATTCCGCCCCTGTTTTGTGCCACTCTTTTGGCGTTTCTTGTATGAACCAATTAAACTAGCGGCGATTAACAGGAGCTTCTATCTTTCTGTTTTTTTCCTGCTCCGATTGTACATATCAATCACTTTGTAAGTAAATACTGTGCAATATACTTTATGTTTCTCCAGTATCGTATGCATGTGTCTTGAATTTTTTGCCTATCATACAATTCTACATCAATTTTATAAAAGATTGTAAAATGGTATTAATTTTTGGTTAAATCTTCACTAAAAAAACAAACTTTAATTCTATGGTACAATTAAAAGACTTGGCTTGAGTGCTATGTCATTTGGCACTAAGGAGTAGATAATGATATGGATCCCACATCATCTATACACTTCTCACGAGTCATTTGGTGCTCACATACCCTTCTCGATCAAGGACAGATGGACAATGATACTTATTTTCGAGTCAAATCTCCTTAATATATACTCTTGGATAAAAATAAAAAAAAAAAAAACTAATAAAAAAGTATTTATCTTTATTTTTTTAAAATACAAAATGCCACCTTTGCCTTTTATTTATAGTAGTATGTAAGTAATTTTACTATCCGAAATTATAAAATTTCTCTAAATTGCAATTTAAATATATTATTGGTAGCATATATCAAGAACGTAACTAATTAATGTTATGTTTGGATGGGTGGGTGGAAAGGGAAAAAAAGTAGAAAAAGTGAGAAGGAAAGGAAATGGAGGAAAAGAAAACCTAACTTTGTATTTGGATGTTTGAAAAATGAGAAATGCATGCATGCATTTAGATTAAGCAAATGGTTTAGTCATGGCCAATGGGTCCAAATTAAAGGAGTGACTGAATGAGTATAACATGATTTTTGTTCTTAAAATTTACAAGTTGAATTCTTGTCAAAATTTTCTTAGTCAAATATTTTTACACATAATCTTTTTAGTATGGTTTATTTTTTTGTGTGTAATTTATAAATACACAAAAATTGATCATCAAATAATGATTGAGATTTTCCTCGTTACTAAAAACAAAAATAATTAAGGCATGTTACATATGTATGTGTATGATGTGTTAAGAAACATATATGCATTTAGTTTTCTATTTATTTATTTATAAGAAACATATATATATATATATATATATATATATATATATATATATATATATATATTAAAAAAAAATGGTCGGTTGCCATTTTAGAATGGACAAAAAAATTAAAATAAACAATATAATTAATAATAAGGTTAATATTATAGCATTGTGGTAATTACAATTTAATATTGTCATATAATATTTGCTCTAGCTTCAATCATTTAGCAATAATGATTTTGCAAACTTGGCAATGAGAAGGGCTAAAGTGTCCTTTTATGAAATTGAATTATGAATCACTGGGATTACAAGTAATACAATTTGAAGTAAATGGCAAGATCTAATGTCATCACTCATCAGCATAAAAGAATAATATAGTACACATATTTTAGTTGGTTTAAAGAATGGAAAATAAGTAAATATTGGAATAATTCAAGAGAAAATGACATTTTTAATTTCTAAGGTGTACATGTAGTGTAGAGTCGGTTCCTAAATTATTAAATATGTAAAATTAGTTTAAGTAGCATTTTTAGTCTCACTTAATAAAAATTGTAACTAATTGATTGTAAATGTGTGCAATCTAATTAATTTGGTAAGGTCTTTTTAGTGTGATATGCACAAGAGAAAATAATAAATATTTTTGTTGGTTGAAAGAATGAAAATAGTCCGCATGCATAGCTCAATTCGTTTTATGGTAGTAGATTAATGTATGTAAGGACGTATGATCAAACCCTGACAATCGCAATTTGAAGTTTCACCCTCCTCCACAATCTTGTTAAGTCGAGGCGTAGAAGAAATAAATTTTATTTTTTTGTGAGTAGAATGAAAAATAAATAAATATTAGAATAAAAAATATCTTTAATTACATTCAATGAATCTCGATCATTGAATTGATGATGATCACATATATACTATTCTTGCCCCAAACATATATATTATTCTCATAATTAAAATGGTGATGAGACTTGCTTATTGTTCCTTGCCAAATAGATGATGGTTAGCCATCATGATCATTCTTTTACCCTAGATTGATTCTGTCTTTGTTATTTGGTCTAGATCAATGATTGATCATACTTCGAGATTTTAGTAAAGAAATATTATTTGGTAGAAACTGATCTGATCTGATATATATATATATATATATATATATATATATATATATATATATATATATATTATTTTCAAATTAAGAATACTAGCCAATTTTCGTTTCTTAATCAAGAATGACATCTAGCCATCATTCTAGTGGGGAGCAATGACAAATTGGTAAGATTTAGCCATAATCATCATTTTTATGCCAACGATGATAATGTTTAATACTTTTTTGTCATTTTAATATCATGTCAATTCTTAAATAATGTAAAATTATGATTTTATAAATGGTCCAAACGAAATTGTTGTAAAAGTTATAATAAAGTGATTTTAATCAATTTCACTAATTAAACATGTCTTTTGTAGAAAGCAAGAGTAGTAGTTGTCAAAATTTTAAGGTCTTGCTTTCTTCTAATTAGGTAAACCAAAAAGTTTTGTTCACACTTCACATCATGTACAAGGAATCTTGTCATTTTGTACTAATAGTTCCAATCCATCTTAATCTCCACTACTTCCAAAAGGATAAAATCATAGAGAATATAATCTATACCTCATCGCTACACACATAATCAATGTTTAATTAATTTGATTGTGCAATATAAACCGTTCAATGAAAGTGTTCCCCACAGGATTAAAATTATTATAATATTAAATATTATCTTCAAAATTATCATATTTTTTTTGAGTTACAAGAAAAACTTGCAACTATTACTCGAGAACTAGTATAGTACCCGTGCGATGCACGGAATGAATATTGTTCAAGATATTGCGGGAAAATGATTTAAGAAGATTTTATTTTTATAAATGTGATATGAGCTTTATTCATTTATATATATATATATATATATATATATATATATATATATATATATAATTTTTAATTTAATAATTATATTGATTTGATTTGTATTTATTAAATTATTATATTAAATAAATATTTGTAATTAAAATAAAAATTAATATATAATAAAAATTAATTCATGTGAATACAATAATGTAAATACAATAAATGTTTTTATTAAATTATTAAATTATTAATTATTAATATAAATATTTGTAATTAAAATAAGAATCGATATATAATAAAAATAAATTCATATGAATACAACAAATGCTTTCATACTTTGGAGGGAAAAAAAATTTGACCATCATTTTACTTTAATATATATATAGAGATATATAGGGACTAGACATGTGCAACGTTCTGATCAACTAAAAGGATATTAACAAAAATTAAAGTTGTGATCTTCAGTAATGAAAAACGTGCTTTAATTCATTCATGACTCGACCACTCCTTTTGGGTTATTGTATTTGATGGTTTTTGGGTTTTCGGGCCCAAGGAGGTCCAACACAACCTTTAGCTGGAGGATACACCTTTCAATAAAATGTGTGTCTCGAAAGAAAGAAAATGCTTTGTTTAGAATCTCCTCTATTCCCTCTCCGGGTCCTCTTTTTCTATGTTCGTCCTCTACAAGAGTGGAGGAGCCTTTATATAGCAGCTCCTCCCCCACTGACTTGAAGGCCCTTAATAGCCGACTTCAAGACTAATTAAAGTATAGAGCCGTTGGTCGCCTTTACTGAGTCGGCCAACGGCTCTCTCAAGCTCGTAACAGCCGGACCAAGTCCGGCCTTTTAATGCTCTAACGGTTCCCTGTTTAAGAGTCTCTTTGATGATCTCAACGGCTCCTTGAGCCGAGTCTTTCTCTGGGCTTGGGGCCTGGCCGACTCCTCGCCCTCGACCCAAGCTCTTACTGGGCCCTTCTTAGCAATCCTGAGCTAGGTCCCCGTACTTGGGCCTGGGCTGATTTCTGGACTCGGCCCAAGCACCCTCCGGGCTTCTCCCGATGCTAGCCCACCTTTCCTGTCTTGGGCTCTCTTCTTTGGGCCAATCTTTCTTGGGCCGGGGTCCTCACCCCATCAGTATTCTTTTTTTGATAGAACAAAACATAAAATACGGTACTCCCACATTCCGATCTAATAGAACATTTAAAAAGATGAAAATTACGCTGATTTAATGATTCAACAGATCGACATGACCAAATGCTTGGCCCGTGTGCACAAGGGATTTTCATTATTTTGTCTCTTGTATTATTTGTTTTGTTTTTTTCTTACATGCATGATTCACTAATCACTATATGGTATGGATTTCAACTCCTACGTGGAATCCCTCAGCTCAACCATATATCCGAATAAGTTCTGGTTGTCCTCTTTGGTTTGACTTTTAATACTATCAGTAGAATTTTGGCATGTTTACTAATTGATTTATTGATTTTTTTTTTCTAAAGAAAACGGAGAATTGAAAAATGAATAACTGAAAACCATGGTTACTTGCACTAATTTCTATTTTTGAAAAATGAAAAAAAAAACTTAAAAAAAAAATCTAAACAAAAAGTGTTTTCCAATTTAGAAACAAAAAAAAAAGGACAAAACAATACATTCCCTTCTACCACTTACCAACCTATATATCTACCCTTACAACTACCTACTTATTACCGTATTACATTTTTCTACTTACATATTTTACATATTACTACAATTAACTGTATTCTTTATCATCTCCTTTTTAGTACATATCGCTATCCAACTTCTATCATCTCTATTCTCATTTACTTACACCAACATGTATTTGCAAGGCAAAAGGGGGTTAGGGGAGCTGATGACCCTCATCCCCTTTCCCCCTTCCCTTAAAATTTGTTTATTATATTGTAAGTTATAATTTTTATTTTCTTATATTGGCTTAGTATGTGAAACTTGAAATCTCCAACTAAATGGTGGATTATGAAATTAGCAAACAAATTGAACTTGAATTGAAGCTATTGATTTTCTTGTGACCTCTCAGCATTCTTTAATTTGTATAGCAATTTACATTGTGGTTAGTTCAATATATATTCATTAATAGTTATATATAGATTGTGGTTAGGTCCATGACCATTATTGCTTAATGGGCTTATTCTCCCTAGCCTTCTATCTACCTCATGGAGTAATGGTGGAGAAAAGAAAATGGAGAACACAATGATATGATTGTTCTAATGATCCCTTATGTGTGAATATTAACGCCATATATATGTCCATATATGTCAAAGAGTTGGTAATATATAGCAATATAGTCTATAGTTTTTATATTCAAAATACATACAAAAAAGTTATTAGCTTTTCATATTTAGATTGAGTGCCCTAATTAGTTGGTAGCTTGAACTGTATAAATATTCTTAAAAAGACTTGTAAGGGATTCGGAATCTTTTTCACTCAAAGCAATATAATAACAATACCCAATTTCTTCCAAATTTCTTTAGCATCATACTTTATTTTCTGCTTTGATCGTAAAACCAACCAATCCCTCAAATAGGGAAATGTAAGAAGATAAAATGGAACATGCAATAAGGTTCTTAAATTAGTTGTTCTTATCCAGAATCTTGTCTTTGCTTTTGCTTTCTGCCTTCCTTATCACCAAAGGCAAACAAGGCATGTTCATCACCATCATATATATGACATTCCACCTTAGCTTGCTTTAAACATCAATATTGTTTACATGAATAAATCAAATCACAAAAAATGTATATAATCAAGAACATATATATATATCCTAGCCTATCCATTTACAGATCAACTTATTGTTCTCGGATCTGTATCTATCTGTCTATCAATCATCACCAACCAAAAGAAGTCATAAAAATATACATATCATAAACTGATGGTCCTAGCTAGAGTAAAGTAAAGCAACCATCATATCATCATATTCACTTACTTCATCTAAAAGCAAAGACAAAAAACAAAACATCCTCTGCCAACTATTTTAATGTATTGCTGATTGCCAACCCTAAGCTGTTCTCTTTCTCGACGAGCAAGCGGAAGAGCCTGCACACTCTCTCGTTGTCGCTGCACCGGGCAATGATGTCCATATAGTGCATGGCGTCGCGAGGGAGAAGGCCTTCCATGAAGAAGCTGAAGAGATGGGAGTGAGTTCCCTGCATTGTGTCCAGGCACTGTTCCAAGGCCTTCACTTGCTGCAGTTTGCTCAGATCTGTTGCTTCCATTAGTGGCAGTAACTCCCTTTCTTCCTCTTCAAAGTGTTGCTTTGAATGCTCCTGCATGCCAAATTCACATCAATTTCATACACAATAACCCCGAATCTAGCTAACTCCTCTGATACCAAATTAAAAGATGTGTTCCGCTTTGAGTAAGAATATATATATGTACCTTTAAGGTTTTGAGGCGAGTTTTGAGATTGGAGAGGGCTTCTTGGTAGACAGGTTTCCCTGAATCCAAAACTCCTATGGATTTAATGTCTTCTTTGATGCCATTCATTACAGGCAGATCTCTTGCATGCTTCTCATTTGCAGCTCTGCACAATCCTGCATTATCACCAATCATATCATTCCACTCACTATCTTGCTTACAGATAGAACAGTCCTCAATTCTCAGCAAGAAACAAGAAAAATATGGGACAATCCAGTCAAGTTGGTCAGACAATCAAACGTCCTCAAATCTCAAACAAGAAAAACATGGAGGCAACCTAGCCAGCAAGTTGATCGGACAATTAACTTGGTAACCACAAAGTTCTAAGTTTGAATTCTTTGCCAGCTATGAACACAAGACTAGGTTTACCAGTGCATACCCTATAGTGACTTTTAATTTACCTTGTCGCTCAAAAAAATAAAGAAACAAGAAAACATTATCCTGTTGGCACGGGCAATTTAGTTAGTTCCGTAAATTGTGGATAAATTAAAGACGGACACAAATTTGAACCCTAGATATAGCAGCGTGAGAGTTACACCCAATATGGTGGACTTCTTGTAAATACCAGACAAGTCTTTTTACCCAATGAGTGGTTAGTCACCATAATTTATCTCTCCAGTCCCCACTATTCTATCGGGGTGTGGGGGTCTTGAGATAAAGAAAATTTTGACTTGTGGACAAGAAAAACATTATCCTTAAAAAAATATAGCAATCAAGGATTTTGGGTAACTTGTATATTAAAGATTGATGATTATAACAACTAGTAAGTGAACTAAAAATGAGTGCTAATGAAATTGAAGGGTGGTGAGAATTATGAATACCTCGATCGGCTTTTTCCAAGATTGGGAAGACAACTTTCTCTTCCATTTGAGCATGCTCGAATAACAGCTCCAGCAACTGAGAGTAGCTCCTTCCAAATTTCTTCAACTCCATTCTGGGACTACCCATCGCCGGATCGCCCCTCGCCTTCCCTCGACGCGCCGCCAGGTCCTCCGCCCACCTCACCATCCTCTCCAGGTGCCAAACCATGCTCCGGTGCTGCAGCACCACCACCCACACCACTAGCGGCGTCGTCGACGTTTCGCCGAACCGCGCCCCGCCGCCAGTCATCACCAGCTGCGGCTCCGGAAACTTGTCGTCCAAGTAACGCACCAGGCTCTCGACGGAGCCGGAAACCACGTCGGACTCGTATTCAATCGCCGCCGTGTCGTGGCTGTCGGACGCCACGAACTTGAGAGCCACGGGCTTGTACTGAAGCGCGAATCGCAGGTAGTAGGTATCAATGCCGAACGGTGTCCCGTAGAGTTTGACCGCCGGTTGGTCCTTCTTCATCACGTCGCCGGCCGGCCGGTTCTCGACCGGCGATCGGTGACTGATCACGTCGCCCGGCGCGATCTCTGCCGTCGAATCCCTCGGCTTCTTGAAGCAATTACCCATCAATTCAAGAAAATGGGAAATTAAAATTTCTTGGTGGTTTTGATGAATTGAAATCAATGGAAGCTAAGAAACCTTAATTAATAAACCACCAAATTAAGAGGTAGAGTAAGCCAAGAAACAAGAATCCTTAGCAGAAGTGAAAATGATGATGTACAATAATCATTGTTTTATCCGAAAGACAGCTTACTACACACTTTACAGTGTGTGTGCAGAACACTTTAGTATGTATATATGTTTGTGCATATCTGTCTGGGTGGGTAAATATATTGTACGTACAGTAGAAGAATAGAAGCTTGAGTGTGAAGGGATATGATGAAATGAAATGAAGAAAATAAGCCAACTTTCATGAAAGCTGTCGGAAAGTGTAAAGACTAAAGACGCTCCCGTTGGGACCGGGCGGGGGTGGGTATGATTGTGTGCTTCGTACGTTGTCATGTTATGCTGGATTCGTTGTTACTGATGGCAGATAAGCAAAACATGCACCCAAAAGGTTGAATCGCCCCAAGGGTCGCCCCGCCAAAACATCCTCGATCTTGATTCATTGTTCTCAAACTTCATTATTGAAACTAATTAAGCTGTTCATGTGGATAAAAATTATCATTTGTGCTCCAGAGTAGCTTGATTAAATTTTAAGTAACAGATTACATTTCAACTTATAGATCAAATTGAATCTTGACAGCAACAGTGTAATTAAGAGTTTCACTTTCTTGTAAGAGTAGCTCTTTATGGACACTATGTACTAATCCTCTTATCTATAAAGTTGCTGAATTATTATGATTTAACTATACTTCTCCATAATTTCTATAAAGTCCGAATGTAAGGACTCTCAAGACAAAAAAATTAAAATCTTTTATACCCAAAGAATTAATTATCATTTGTAAGCAGGGAAATAGTCATTTTTAAGCAACAATGAGTTGTGTTTCCTAATTGGAAAATTTTCAATTTATCATAAATATTTTTGTCTCATTATTTAGTAGTTAAATGACTTAAATCAGGTCTTTCTTTATTATTATTTTTTTGCTTATTCTCTTTAACATTTTTTTTTTATAATTTGTAAATTTCATATTACTTAGTAGTTTTAAAATATATAAACTTTATCTACTAACAATAAATTAAATATTATTAAAAAATTGAATTGTAAATAATTTTAATCAATCTTGATTAACTAAATTGGACACATAAAGAGAGATGAATGGAGTAGGAAATTAGAGAATTGAAAACAAAAATGTATTTCTTTCTTTTTTTTTACTTAAGAAAGGCAGCCGTTGAGAAGGCGCGGCCCAGAGCTCAGTTGCGGCCTGCGGGCGTGGATTATTATCGAAATGGGCCGGGTTATCGGCCCGACCCCGTGAACATTGATTGCCTGAGGCGGGTGGGGGAATGGGAAATAAAGCTTTAGCTTTTAGCATCGTCAAGCTACAAACTTTCTTCTTCACTTCTCTGGTCTGAGACGAAAACGGGAAGCGCAGCAGCATGAGTCGGTCGGGTCAGCCTCCGGATCTAAAAAAGTGAGTCCCTCTCTTCTCTCGTCTTTTCTATTTTTGTTAACTATATTACGTTCTTTCGAATTTTGACCCGAAATGAATTGTTTGTTTGTTTTTTTTTTTTCCCCTACATTCTGCAGGTACATGGACAAGAAACTCCAAAGTAGGTTACTTTTTCTTAATCTATCAGTGAAATTAAGCTTTTTGTTGTTTAAATCTTTACTTTGGCGTTGCCATGGTCTAGGGTTTAGGGTTTAGAATTTGCGATTTAGGGTTTATCGATAGTCTATTTGTTTATGGCTACTACTTTTATTATTTGGATATACGAGATTCATGAGTTATATTGCTCCTTGTTTTTGTTGCTCTGTATTTTCTTCTTTTTTACCCTTTGTTATTTAATTAGTAAATATTTGAAAATAGAGAGGTTGCTCTACAATCTTAAATTATATATCCATGGATGGATGAATAATTGAATATGCACTGTATTACAATCAATTACAAGATGCATTTCCAAGCAAATCAGTTGTTTCTTGTTTTGACTTTTATGTTGAGTAATTACTTGCATATTGCATAAATGCTTTTGGCTCATTGTTGAGTTTGTCTATCATGTGCTTTGTGGAATTTGCTTAAGATGTGTGGATATATAAAACGCTGAGGAATTAGACAAGATTGTTGAGCTTAGGAAACACAAAAATGTGTAATGCTTATGGTGCATCAATCTCCGAGAGTTAATGTCTTGTGTTTGACCTTTGTTTCTTTATAATAACCCCCTCTACTTAGAGGGGGGGTTTTCAGATGAAATGTAATCCAATTCACATTCTTTTGCAGTTAAGATGAATGCCAATCGCATGGTAGTCGGGACTCTTCGTGGGTTTGATCAGTTCATGAATTTGGTCATTGATAACACTGTGGAGGTTAACGGCAATGAAAAGAATGATATTGGCATGGTGGTTAGTAGTCTCCATTTCCCCTAACTTACGATCTTCATTGAGTTCAGGCATTTCTTTTCTTTTGGATGGACACGAAGTAGTTACTATAAAAGATTTACATATTGTGCAATCCCTGTTAAAGTTTTCAACTACCATTTGTTACTTACTGCAGCGTTACTTTTTTCAGGTTATTCGGGGAAACAGCGTTGTTACTATTGAAGCATTGGAGCCCGTTGCCAGATCGTAGCGCTAGTAGCTGCTGATGCAGTCATCACCTTGTTAATTTCATCTATGTACCAATGCCTGCTGCTTTGTGGAAGCATTATAGGTCTACTAGTACTTTTTGTTAGGTTTCCAAAGTATTGAAGCAGAACAAGTTATCATATGACTGAGCTGAATTTGATTGCTATTATGTACTTTGGTGGCAATGGATTTTAATTTTTAGTTTATCTAGTCTTTCATGGTGTGCATATTCTAACTTTGGCTTGCATCGGTTGCGTGACTTTAGGGTTCTGTCTCCGTTTATGGGCCAAGTTACTTTCAGTGAGAATTGTTTATTGGTCTTTTTAATTTGAACCAGTTAGCTATGGCAAACTGGTTTATTTCTCTGAGTTTGTGGTCCTTTATTGGCTTTTTTAAGTTTAGAGAACTGACTATTAACCTTTTTGATTTGAACTGGTTCGGCAAATCAAAGAAGCACAACAAAGGTGTAGCCTTTTTGATCATTTCTTGTATTTCAAACAGTGAATAATGGTCTGATATTGTGAACTTGTCAAGCACAAACTGATTTTGCTGTCTTTAGATTGGTGTTAGATACACTATCAATTATTACACCATGTTGGAACATAAACACATTAGTTTCATACTTCTCTGTAAATGAAAATTCCTCCAGATCAATTAAATCATCTTAGGGTAACTAAATGTGTTCTGCAAGTCAAAAGTTTCTTGGTCTGTCCCATTAATACTCGGAGCGACGCCTCTGGTTGTCTTCACATAGGCAACATATTCGCGGTAGTGCAAGGTAAATACCATGCTCTCATACCGCGTTAGCTGGATGTTCTTTCTGAGCAATTCGGTGATGGTGCCAGTGTAGCCCGCTTTGCACATCAGTGAGTTGATAGCTTCGGTTTTTGTCCAGCCTGAGAGCAAACGAAAGCCAGTCAGTAAATCCCGACCACTAGCTATAAATCGGTCAGTTCATTTGGCAAATTTTAGTCTTGTAGTAGCGTCGTGAGTGCAATATAGGGGAAAAGGTTGTTAGTACTCGGAAAGAAATTAACAAATTGATCAATTAGACCAAATTTCACCTTCGTGAGCAGCTACCTCCGGGAGGTATGTGGCACTTCTCGTGATATTGTAGTCCGGGTCAATAAATTCAATAATTACTCCGTGCTTCCCAACCTATAAGAAAACACAACATTCTTGAAAATCAAAGATAATATATTGTTGTGATAAATGCAATATTAGCTAAGAGGGACCAAAAACTGGCCTACTGGTTTGTGTGATTAAAGCAATAATTTTGCAGTAGCATCAACCGTATCATATCATCTCATACTGCGTCTAACTAATACGGAGTATCAGATAATAATTGGAAGATTGCTCAGAATAACTTAGAACGTTACCCATCATGGTTTAGAATATGAACACTAAAAGTATGCAATTCAAGAAGTTATACTTTTTTTAGATGAAGAGGGAAATCCAATCAAGTTGCTTATTGAACTATAAAGTTGGATCACAAAACAAATAGCATTTGTATTTCTATCATGCATAAACCATCATATTACGTCAGAGCAATACCTCCCAATCGAGATAGTTAAGTGCAGTCTCATAATTTGTCAGAACGGATACTGTACATTCCAAACTAGGTAACTCTTTAGCCTGTATTGGAGGGAAACGGCGGTCCCTTAGAGCACTGTGACATTTCGAGACAAAAAATGTTAGGATGTAAGATTAATTCATCAATCAGGATAAATAAAAATAGATTTGGATATTGCTACGGAATATGATTACTTTGCCCACAAAAGGCGAAATTCCCTCGCCCCCAGGCCCCTACACCCTAGCCTTACAGGATAGTGGAAGGGTAAATTACAGTGACTCAACGGTCCATTAAGTGGGAAGACAAGTGCCTGGTGCCCACAAGGAGCCCATCACATTGGGTGTAACTCCCACACTGACACACTGCGGCTATCAGGGCTCGATCATGTGTCCTTGCCCACAATCTACCACATAGGAACCAACTGAGTGCGGGCAATATGATTACTTTTTTGGGTTGACAACTACTTAGTTCTTCATTTTGCCCACACCAAGTATATGATTCGGCTTTTAAATAAAAACAAAACGACTTGAAACAACTGCATAAAGAATTACTGTAAATCCAACTGAAGAAGTCTACGACCAGAGAAAGTTTTCCTATTACCAAATCCACTAGAGTAATCAAGAAGAAAAAAGATGAATTCCTAAGGCAATTTCTTTCCCAGATTACCTTGTTAGTGCGTAATCTTTGAAACCGTTAATAAGGCCACAAGCTTCCAAAGTGCCAATGCATCCACGAAGACGAGGCTCGCTGCCATTCACCGCTTTCTTCCAAGTCACAAACAGTGGGCTGAAGCCAAGATAATTAGATCAAATATGGTAAATCCAAAATTTTATTTTCAGATCAGTGCATTCTATTAAGGGAAACAGTAGCAATTCAGTTTAGCTTATCAAATAGAAATCATTGGGATCCTACTAAGCCAAAAGGACAGTTTGCAAGGTTCATATATACACATGACAGAATTACAAAATAGCCTCGACTCTATCCAATTCCACACGAAAACAAAGCGGCCCAAAAGGCATTTCATTAAGCATCACATAATCCATGCAATTACCTCATACACTCCTACAACCTTAAAAGCAAACTCTCAGATTAATAGTTGCAGTAGGAAAGCGAGGAAGTTTAAACTCATTAGTCATTACCATGTTGCCTTCAACCCAAATACCCAAATCACAATTATGACTGAAGGGCATAGAGACATAGAGTTCATTGCTCAAAGAAACATTCAAAAACAAAATATCTCTGCAGTCTGGACTATCAACATCCAAACAAGGAATCAATACAAAAAGAATATAAACAAAGAAAGACCCTTTCAAACACACACTCAAAAGTGGAAATCTTCAACAATTTACAAACAAAACAATAAAAAGAACGGAAATTATACGAAATGGAAGTTCAAGTTCATGGAAACTAAACCCCCCCAAAAAAAATTGAAATACAAAATTATATACTACTTAAAGTAACAGAGATTTACTGTTGACCCTCATCGAAAGCAGGGGGAGGGGTTTGCTCGCTGTTGTAGTAAGCCACCAAGGTATCAAAGCAATACACCGCCATTTCTCTATTTGCAGACACCATTTTTCCCCCTCTCCGATTGTTTCCAATCAAATTTCCCAGATTCTTTGGCCGATCAACGAATCAATTCAACAATCTAATCCAGTTAAAATTCAACAATGAATCATTTAACTAAGATGTTTTAAATCCGGCTTTCAACAATTTGGTGTCCCTTGTTCTTCTTCTGGTTTGTTTCTATCAAGTCGAGTGAATAATAGGATTATAGATTCCACAACAGTAACAGAAACGAAAAAGAACGAAACTTTGGCCTTTGGGTTATATTCTATTCTATTCTCTTCCCTGTCAGCTGACATTTTATGCTTCGACGGAGAAGAAAAGCACATTTTCAGGTTTCGTGAATTACGAGTGTCAAACTTAACTACTTAAAGCTAGGCAAATTGAGTTCGAATTTCAAATCCTACTCTTTAAATTTTATGTTAAGAATAATTTTTTTTTTTTTTTTTATGTAAGTCCTAATACAAATGTCTTATGTCAAGATATAAGAGTACACATTGTATTTTTTTGATAAATTTTTATGCTAACTATTAAAAATTATTTTTTAATATACTAAAAATATATTATTAATATACTAAATGTATAACATATTTTGAGTACTTAGATAATGTACTTTTTTTAATACAATGTACATTAAACCCTTCGACCATCTCAAAATCAAGATAAAATTGTATATCCCTAAAATATCATGTCACTTGATATAATGATACCAGAAACATATAATTGTATGGGCTCAAATTCAATTGGTAGGGAAGGAATGTAATCATGTTATCATTTGCTATGAACTCTATGAATAACATCATATATTAACCAACATCCAACATCATCATATGCAAGAATTCAGAATCAATTTCCAGTAAAATAACAGTAGCAACTTTTGAATCACATCCACAAGAGTACATGATAGTTGATACATATTCAAAGGCCAGCTAATCAGAATCATGTCTTCTCTTCTCCTTGTCTCTCTTATGTTTCCTCCTTTCATCCGAGTCACGAGAATGTCGCTTCTCTTGCCTATCATGCTTCTCCTGTTTCTCTCGCCTATCATACTTCTCGTGTTTCTTCTCTTCGCGTCTTCTCTTCTTCTGGCTTCTTTCATTATCTGAGCCTTCTTGCTCGCTTCTAGTGGGCGCCTCGGGCCTCTGCACATTTGTGTTTCCTGAAGGCTCCATCTTTTCACTGGATGGAAGATTGGACAGTGAACTTGATTCTTTCCAAGGTTGAGGCACTCTGCACAGCCAAGTTCCACAAGTTTGAGTGAGCAATAAAAAAACAGAGAGATATCTAATTTTATTGCAAGTGATATTTTATACCATTGTTCCTCTTAACTATGTAAAAAAAAAAAAAAAAAAAAAAAAAAAAAAAAAAAAAAACGTACGGTTCATTTGACAAAATTTACTCGTTTTCTTTGCTTTGCCTACCCTAGGAGGGCAAGAAGTGGGAGATGCAAGCAGAAACATAAAAACAATGACAGATTGACAGACACTTATAATTAACAGTTTCTGCAATGAGAAATGCAACTTCTCAGATTCACAAAATAAGTTCTCTAATAAGACATTTTAAACTTACTTAGAAAACCCAAGGCCATGAACCCGAGCTGCTTCAGCGTGGCCAGCTCCCAGGTCTTCAGCTGTGGAGCCTCGTTTCACAAGCTCAGAGAACTCATGCTTGTCTAGTCGGTTACCTTGAGACTGGGTAGCACGTTTAGGAGCTAGGCCTAGAGCTTCCCGCATGGCTTGCTCCTCCTCTTCCTTAATCCTTTGTATCTCTTCTTTAGCTGCATCCATATCTGATTGTTGAGATTTCTTATCACGTGCATACCAGAAGAGGTCTTTACCTGTAGAATAAGGTCAAATAAAAAGTAAGATCAATTGAAAAGAACAACAACAATAGGAGATAGAAGAAAAGAAACAGTATAGCGTTAAAGCTAGGCAAAAAGGAGGATATCACAGAGCATCGCAATAACATCAATACATCAGTAGCTCTTTCGTTGTTGTCTGTACAAATACAAATTAAGTACACAATAATACCTTTCTGCCATCTTCCAACTGGTGCTTTGATACTATGGCCTATATAGTTTTCACGATGTTTATCAACTTTTACATCATCCCAGGCAAATTCTGCAAAAAAAGAGGAAATATTAATCACATAATCCATGTTGAATGCAAAATCAAACTTACACAAACTACATAAGTTACAATTGTCTATTAGCATGAACTATAAAGAGAAATTAGCTCCAATGGCTTGTCAGACATTAAGAACAGCCACTTTAACATATCTTAGTTAAACTCCATAAAAAAACCTTTGTTCTAAACCCTAACGACACCACAATTACATCCAGTAGATTATTTTCTGTAATTTTCACTAAATTAAGCGGTAATGAATCAAGTACAGATCCATAAACAGGTAAAGCTAACAAATTTAGGAATTTCTTATACGAATTTCTGCATAGATTAGTCCTTAGTAGACGTATTACGCGTATACGAAAGGAAACCCTAAAACTGCGGTAATGAAAGTATGAAATTGAAGAGAGGGGAGAACTTACGATCGCGACCACCGCGAACACCACCTCTAGTCGGATGATACATATTCTTCCCTGCCTCACTGTCTCGCCGTCAGCGCGATTTCGATTGCGATTCCGTTCCCGATTTGCAAATAGCTGCCACAATTGAATGCTGAGTCTTCCAATGATTGTCCAATAGAACTCAATCTGAAAATTTACAATAAAGTCCCTACATTTTCATCTTACTCCTGGATGGACCCGGTTTCCAGGCCAGCATATGGCCCACTGGACCAGTCAACTGAAAAGCCCAAAATCCATTAAAGAAAATTAAAACAAAAAAATCCATTAAAATTGAAGTGGCAAATTATTCTGTGCAACTAGGCTGGTGCACACAATTACAAAAACGACATCATTTTATTTTTTAAAAAAATTATTTTTAATTGCCGTTAGTTACGTAAACAATATATGTTTATAATTTTATAATTTCACATTCTGAATGTATAATTATGAAGTTATGGATGTGTAGTTATACAATTCTGAATGTATAGTTATGAAGTTATGGATGTGTAATTATGCATGCAATTCTCAATGTATAGTTATGAAGTTATAATTTCACATTCTGAATGTATAGTTATGAAATTATAATTTCACATTCTGAATGTATAGTTATGAAGTTATGGGTGTGTAGTTATGCATGCAATTCTGACTGTATAGTTATGAAGTGATGGATGTGTAGTTATGTAATTCTGAATGTATAATTATAAATTTATAGATGTGTAGTTATGCAATTCTGAATGTATAGTTATGAAGTTAATGGATGTGTAGTTATGCAATTCTGAATATATAGTTATAAAGTTATGGATATGTAGTTATGCAATTCTGAATGTATAGTTATGAAGTTATGGATGTGTAATTATGCAATTCTGAATGTATATTTATGAAGGTATGGATATATAGTGCAAATTGTGCACAACAAAACGCCATCAACGACAATTGAAACTAATTTTTTTTTAATTTTTAAGTTGGACGTCAAAACGACGTCGTTTTTAAAACCGTGTGCATGCATGGTGCACACGGTTGCAAAGCATAACGCTCCAATTGAAGTGATAACTTTGTTTTAAAAAATAAAATTGGTATATCATATATCATGGTCCATTTTATATTGTACAATTTGATTTAATATAATATTAAAATTAAATATTTACAATTAACATATTGTGTAATTTTAATTAATAAATTATATATTTATTATAATTATTATTATATGTAATTAATATATTATGTATTTATAGCAATTAATATATTATATATTTTTAGTTAATAAATTAAATATCTGTTGTTATTATTATTATTATATTATTATCACTAAATAATTTGTAATTCAATGACATTTCTATGACTCTTCTAAATAAAAAGTTATATGTTTAAATTCTGATGAGACAAAAAGAATAGTATATAAATTTTACATGTAAATTTTAAATTTAATATTATAAAAAATTAAGTTATAAATAATTTCAATCAAATTTTGTTAATCAAACTCTACATATAAAATGGGAGGGAGAGAGTAGTATAATTTGCATAGTGGCCTTACGTGGAAGGCATACATTGTGCAGGCTCTCGAACCTTCACCGGTTTTGCAGAACCGGTACGATACAGAGTTTAATCTTATCCAGATTCCAGAACCCGGTAACCCGGTCCTAACACCGCCTCTCGTATGGCGGCGCCTATAAATGCACCTTCCCCAGCTTCGTTGACTTGGCCGTCCACGTCACTGTGACACTCTCTCCTAATCAGTAATCATCAGAGAAGAAGAAGAAGATATGTCTATGAGATCTTTGGCTTTGCGCACTGGACTTCGTGGTTTGATGGAAGGCACACCATCTGGAGCTGGACGATCATCCCTCTCGGGGCTCCGATACTTCAGCGACAGCACGGGTCGGATCCTCAGCGAAGAGGAGCGTGCTAAGGAGAACGTCTATATCCAGGTGGATAGATTCTCTCTTCTGCTTTCAGTATTTAATTTCATCTATCCTTACATGTTGTTTATGTCTCAAAATTTCTGTTATTTATGTTTGGTTGGTAAAGAAAATGGAGAGGGAGAGGCTGGAGAAGAAGAAGAAGAAAGCCGAGAAAGAGAAAGCTGAGCGCGAGAAATCGGGGAAGGTACGGATCCATTGTTGCTGCTTGAGGAACAAAAATTATTTTTTTCTGTGCAGTATTTTTAATTTTTGTTTTCCTTCTAGTTTATTCATCTCAATTCTTTTTGAGTATCAAGTAAATTCGCAATTACTATTTGAGGACGATGGTAAAGGGGTTAAACTCCGTCATATTTACTTAGTCGGTAAAAGATTATAAGGAAATCAACCACTTAGGTTATTCGATGATTGATTCAAACTAAAAAGGCTAATAACAAGTGGGAATTGAACTTGTAATCATGTGATTAGTAAACAACTTGCTTAGTGTTGGGTTTTGAACCTGAGGTTACTAGCAGTAAGCACTTATGTTTAGATAATAATAAGAGGCATAGGTTAAACAAATAAATAGAATAAATAAGATATTTAGGAAAAAATTCTGGGTCATTTAGGCCAAGTCAATTGGTTGATGGTTCTACTATTTTTGTTGTGATTGTTATGGTTGAGTTTCTTGGAAGTCATTAATGGAGATTTTAGCATGATGAGGAGATGAAGTCCCATATAAAGTCCATGGAAAAAAGAGGAGATAGGTACATGGTCGAGTTTCTTAGAAGTCATTAATGGAGACTTTAGCCTGATCAAGAAGATGAAGTCCCATATAAAGTCCATGGGCTAATGGTTGTAGGTAGAGCATGTGTGTCAGTGTGTGAGAGTGACATTTTGGAGTTGTCTTGGATTCTCATGTTCTGTTTCATTTGATTCCTTTCTCTTTTATAAGTTCAATTCCAAATGGATTTGGATTAGCCAGATTTAATTCATTCAATGATTATACCATGGAACATGGTCCATTTGGAACACTGACATAATGTTCATTTTGAATATACTGAAGTGTCATTTTTTGAAGGTTTATTCTTAAGTATACTACCTAAAAATGAACTTTAATTTCAGTACACTAAGAATGATTATTTATTCGTGGTCCCCAATATAATTTGCCTAGTTCCTTAAAATGGGCTAAGTACATTGCTTGGGCTTCTGAGATGAGCCCTGGTTTATCTGTATTTCTTTAAGCATGACTAAAGGTTTGTTCTCGTTGGAGCATTTTTAATGGTTACTTATTAGTTTTGGTTTGTTTAAAAGTATTTTTTAAACAAGAGTGGATGTTAGGAATCCTTAACAACGAAATGTTAAATGCAGAAAGCTATCAAATTGTTTATCCAGTATGCCACAGATCTAGATACACAGCTCGATAGTCTGCTGTATTGTACTTCTCTTCACCATTCTGGGTTGAATTGGTTTGCTTACTTTTAGTCTTTTTCTTTATCAGATAGCTGAAGAAGAGGCTGGGAAGATCTGAAGTGGGTTGCCTACTTACCTCCAATGACTTGTCAAACTCTTGCTTTCAAGAACTCGCAACAAAATAAAATGTATATATTATGCAAATGCATAGAACTTCCAAAAGGTGTGTGCCCTTGTACAGAATGTTGTGGCTCTTGTTAATATCTTGGATGCATCCGTGTGTGTTTCGCTGTGCGCTAGACTGTATGTAGTTCCATTTTACTTCTTTAATAAACGTCTGTTTGATATTTGCTTGTTTTGTCAGTGCCATCAAGTTAATGTTGTAGAGTGGTACTTAAATTGTTCAATTAAGTCTAAATTGACTTGTTTATCAGGTTAAATCTATGCGGTAGACACATGTTCTTTTTATTTTATTTTATTTTTTTAAACAAATATTTTTATTTATTAAAAACTAAAAATATTATTTATTAAAAAAAAAAAAAAAAAAAACAGCCACCGAGTGTTTGCACTGAACAGTCGTTAGCTGTCTTCTTCACGGACAACCGTGACTGTTCGGCAGAACGGCTACGGCCGATGAAGGAAGACGACTATAGGCATTTTTTTTCCTTTAAACAAATAAGTCTGATTTAATGACACGCAAGGCATACACCAACATCAAGAGTCAAGCCCTAATAATCTACATTGTTAATATTATGCAATTTTCTTCATGTCCAAAGGGGGGACATTATGAATGGTGGTTACCTGACACTACCTGTTATAAAACTGTTATCTTATCATCTTTTTGGTAAGCAATGATGAAGATTGTTGGGTTAATTAATTAATTAACACTGTAGTTTTCCCTACTTCAATCATGGAAATGTCAAGCTTGCATGTGCCCTAACTGCTGTCTTCATAAATCATGGAGGACAAGACCATCCAGTTCATGCAAACACATTCTTGCCCCCTTGGCCCCTTCTCATTAACAAATAACCTAAATATAACCATGATGTTTGATAATCTCATCATTATTCCTACCAAAATCTTCTGCTTTCTTGCACGAGTGAAGGATCAGCTAAAGTTTCCATCAATATGTATAGAATTAGGATCAGATGAACTAGCAGTCTTGTGAGAATGTGTGAACTAATCTCAACAGTCTATCAAAGATCAAGAATTAAAAATTAAGAAAAAAATGTTGTGTCATTTTTGTAATTACGACGGGATATTTAGATCAGAAATGCTACATAGTGTGTCTGGAAATATTTGATGTTGTACTCAAGATCTTTAATAGTGCACTCATGTGTGTGCACTATTAGTTTTCAAATGTACCGTCGTAATTAAAAACGGTCATCGTATTTTTTTTTATTTTTTTAAATTAATTTTTAGTCTTTGATCAATTTAGAAGGACGGATGAGATTAGTCTGTACATTCTTATGGGACTACTAGTTCTTATTTGAAATTGAACATGTGTTTGGTTTTTGCACATTTTTTTAGACCCAAAAAAAAAAAAAAAAAAAAAAAAAAAGGTGAGGGAAAGTCGCTCGCCTAATAGTGCGTCAACAAAATATTTGGGTTTTGTTTTTCCTTTCCAAGCTAGTCCACAAAAAACTCGTGCCAAAAATTTTATTTGATGGGATGTTCTAAGAAAATGAATATTAAAAGATAAATTTAACATAATAATGCATATACATAGTTAAATATTTGTAAATTGATAGTGCCAAATACCTTGTAATTTGATAACATCACTCTTGCTTTCCATAAAGAAGGTCTCAAAAAAATTTCCTTT